CAATATCTATGAGGACATACCCATATGTACCTCCTCGTGCCCCCCCCCCCAGTCCCTCTCTCCACCCCATACACTATGAAGTGTCCAATGCTACATACCAGGTATGATAGCTCCCCCTCATGCTCTCCTTCTGTGTATCGTCCACTTTTTTTTAACCGCCCGTATTGTTCAGCTGAATAACTTTCTCTTATCAAAAATGAAAGAACTATAGTCTCCTTAAAGCTACCATATTGTATATTCTGTTACATTCATGTATAAGTGTGGCAGCGAGTAAAACTAACATGTTTGTTGAAACTCCATGGTGGTGGTCATCATGTGAGTGTGTAAAGAGTTAAATCAATCAAAAGCTCACCTCTTCGCTTTCTGCATAGAGCAAAGCTACTAATCAGCACTGTGATTGGTGGTAAATGCCACCAATCATCTTCTTCCAAAACAAAGGCCATACTCAGTGTCCTGTTATAATATATCAGCTGCCAACATCAAGTCGATATACTGTCTTCGGTAAGTAAATAATCCAATACGTGGTGGTTTATACTGGGATAGAAGTACTTTCTAATGCATGTACTAACCCTTTCACTGCCAAGGATGTAAGGCCTACGTCAGAATAAGACCACTTCCAGCTAGCCAGCTCAGTCCTCAGCTATCCCCCTTCAGCTATAAGTTCATGGTCACCTCAGCGAAGAGTGAAGTCACAGTGTGCAGGGAAATCATAGTAAGCCGTTATAGTACATGAGGAGCCTGTACAGCTGTGCAAGACTGGAGATGAGGCTGGAGTTCAGCTTTAGGTCCTGTGTCTGTTACAGTGCCGTAAGGTCGGGTCTCACGGTCGGTTAATTGGGTGTCCATCCCTCTCACTTGTTTCATCTAGTCCGTTTCCCTGCAAAGTGCAACACCTCCAGATCTTGTTGTGTGGGGAGAGACCTCAAGGAGGTACCGGATCTCCAGTCCATGAAGGTCACTGTGGGGCTGGGGGGATTCCGTTTCTGAAGGGGAGAATTCTCTGGGCAGTTAAGGTGTAGGGATCAGAGAGAGAGCAGAGCCAAACATATGGCCGCAATGTGCAGGCAAGGATGTTGGTGATAGACTACGGTTTCTTAGATTAATCTTTGCAGGACACATAAGCCGAGGATCACGTGGGCGCCATATTGGCCTGTGTACATACAGCCCAAGCTGATGGCTGTGGGGTAAGAAAGCGTTAGGTGCCTGAAGCTGCTGGAGCCTGCCAGTACTTTGCTGCTCTCGCCCATTGGACAAGAGGAAACATTTGGTCTTTAGGGCCACGATTCTTTATGCTCCAAGATGGAGGCTCTCATAGATTAGAGTTAGGACCACACTATACGGAGGGGCTTTGACCAGGCAGTGTGGCTTCCAGAGCCATCAGCCGCACCAACTCCACACACAACACTTCAGGCCGGCACCTGCCTCATCAGCATAGCCATTGCCCGCAGAGCCCAGGAGATCCACATGCCACCCTAGTGAGATCAGCACGCAGCCTGGTGAGCTCTGATGAGAAACTGCCCTAAAATCATTTGTCTGTATAGCTTTAGAAGAAGAAAAAAAAAAAAAGTCACATGTCCCTGGAACAGTACTTGAAAGATTGGTATTGGGACATCCCTACTTTAACCCTTTCGCTGCCAAGCCCTCCGGAACATTTTTCAAATCAGCTGGCCAAGCCATTTTTGAATTTTCTGCAATTTTTTCCTATTGATTTGATTTTCAACTGCTGCGTTGTTAGCGTTTGTAAAAGACCCCCCAAACCATATATTTTCTGAAAGCGCAGGCCCGGTAGAATAAAAAGATGGTGATACTAAATTTGTAGGCCCTGCGATAATTGCGCAAATGTTTCTCAAATTAATATTAAAATCATCGCCTCTTTCCGGTGGGATGGAGCCTGTGTTTCAGACATTATCCAGCATCAACTACTCCTTGAAGTGGGATTTGGGCTTGTAGATTCCACGATCATGCAAGTCTGATGCCTGTAGTGTTGACCACGCCCACAAAAGCAAGACACAGATCAGCCACCTACTGCAATCTGACTTGCCACATTTAAAATGTTCATCTGATCACCGGGAAGAGACTACGGAAATGCTTCTTCTTACAGTGACCTCTTACCTTGGCACATGCACCTGGAGAGTTCAGCCGTTTAATGCTAAGAAGGTATTTGGTAAGGTTATTTTCCTGTATTTAGGTGACATGTCAGGAATTTATATGTAAACTCAGTTACAGAAATGTGCACTTTAAGGTGTGGTCAGCACCCCCAAAAAAGGTTAAAAATAAAGTTAATTTGAGCTTGCTCTACACGAGGGTGGGCAACTCTGTAGCAGCTGTTGTGGAACTACAAGACCCATGAGCCATTGCAAGACTGTTACAGGCATGTTGGAACTTGTAGATAACAGCTGGAGGGCCGACATTGCCCACATTACACACTGGGGTTGATGTACTAAATGGGTACAGGTTATTCTCCTAGGAAAGCCAGTGGTAGTGTATAAAGTCAATAGAAGGGAAGGTGTGTTTACTTTAATATCCAATCATGTGCTAGGACAAAAATATATCAGATTAGGTTTTTAAAATCAACACAACCTTCTCTTACTTTCCCAAGTGAACAGCCCAGACTCCTTGTAAAATCTACGCTGCCTGGAAAGGAAAGGTGGAAAGGTTCTAAACAAATGTTAGAGCTTGAGATCTTTTGTGTACCACAGTACAGGAGCTCCCTTGATGCACATGCAAGTTCTAAAAGCCAAAAGCAATTTTCAGGAAATGTATGGCACTAGAAGTTTAAGTATTTTTATGCAAGTTACAGATTTGTCAGGGTTTAGACAAGTTAAAAAGCAAACAAATTTATTTTGGAATGCAAACACTTTATTGAAGCAAAGTGCAACAGAAACATGAAGCAAAATGTAAGAAGCTGAACTGCTGATTGTCACATCTTAAAAGCCACCCCTCAAGCGCAGGACAAGGTGCAGAGTAGATTCTTTCTGGATGTTATAATCTGACAAGGTACGGCCATCTTCCAGCTGTTTTCCTGCAAAGATCAGTCTTTGCTGGTCTGGGGGAATACCTTCTTTGTCTTGAATCTTGGCCTTCACATTTTCAATGGTGTCACTTGGCTCCACTTCTAGGGTGATTGTTTTTCCAGTCAAGGTTTTTACAAAGATTTGCATTCCACCTCTTAGACGGAGAACAAGATGGAGGGTGGATTCTTTCTGGATGTTATAATCTGAGAGGGTGCGGCCATCTTCAAGCTGTTTACCGGCAAATATCAGCCTCTGCTGGTCAGGAGGGATACCCTCCTTATCCTGGATTTTGGCCTTAACATTCTCGATGGTATCACTGGGCTCAACCTCCAGAGTAATGGTCTTTCCTGTTAAGGTCTTCACAAAGATTTGCATTCCACCCCTCAGACGAAGGACAAGATGCAAGGTGGATTCTTTCTGGATGTTATAATCTGAGAGGGTGCGGCCATCTTCAAGCTGTTTGCCAGCAAAGATCAGCCTCTGCTGGTCAGGAGGGATACCCTCCTTATCCTGGATTTTGGCCTTAACATTCTCGATGGTATCACTGGGCTCAACCTCCAGAGTAATGGTCTTTCCTGTTAAGGTCTTCACAAAGATTTGCATTCCACCCCTCAGACGAAGGACAAGATGCAAGGTGGATTCTTTCTGGATGTTATAATCTGATAGGGTGCGACCATCTTCCAGCTGTTTCCCGGCAAAAATCAATCTTTGCTGATCTGGAGGAATACCTTCTTTGTCTTGAATTTTGGCCTTCACATTCTCAATTGTGTCACTTGGCTCCACCTCCAGAGTAATTGTTTTGCCAGTGAGGGTCTTCACAAATATTTGCATCCCTCCTCTCAGCCTGAGGACAAGATGGAGGGTGGATTCCTTTTGAATGTTGTAGTCTGAGAGGGTGCGGCCATCTTCAAGCTGTTTACCGGCAAATATCAGCCTCTGCTGGTCTGGGGGAATACCTTCTTTGTCTTGAATTTTGGCCTTCACATTTTCAATGGTGTCACTTGGCTCCACCTCCAGAGTAATTGTTTTGCCAGTCAAGGTTTTTACAAATATCTGCATTCCACCTCTTAAGCGAAGAACCAAGTGGAGAGTGGATTCCTTTTGGATGTTGTAGTCTGAGAGGGTGCGACCATCTTCAAGCTGTTTACCGGCAAATATCAGCCTCTGCTGGTCTGGGGGAATACCTTCTTTGTCTTGAATTTTGGCCTTCACATTCTCAATTGTGTCACTTGGCTCCACCTCCAGAGTAATTGTTTTGCCAGTGAGGGTCTTCACAAAAATCTGCATACCACCCCTCAGACGCAACACTAAATGCAGCGTGGATTCTTTCTGGATGTTGTAATCAGACAGGGTACGGCCATCTTCAAGCTGTTTGCCAGCAAAGATCAGCCTCTGCTGATCTGGAGGGATACCCTCCTTATCTTGGATTTTGGCCTTAACATTCTCAATTGTGTCACTGGGCTCAACCTCCAGAGTAATGGTCTTTCCTGTTAAGGTCTTCACAAAGATTTGCATTCCACCTCTAAGACGCAAAACTAAGTGCAAGGTTGACTCTTTCTGAATATTGTAATCAGAAAGTGTACGGCCATCTTCCAATTGTTTTCCAGCAAAGATTAATCTCTGCTGGTCAGGTGGGATTCCTTCTTTGTCTTGAATTTTAGCCTTGACATTTTCAATGGTGTCACTTGGTTCGACCTCAAGAGTGATGGTCTTCCCAGTAAGTGTTTTCACAAATATTTGCATGGTCTGCAACAACAACAAAAGTACACAAATAAATGCAAGATAAAGACAAAAAAAAGTTGCCCATATTTGTTATAGACTTTGCCATCTGCTGATTTTGTGATAGCAGTCTGCCACCCAACATGCACATTAAACTGCCCCTACAGGGAATGTGTATACTTTATGATAAGGAAAGTTTTTGTAAATCTAGGATATTGCATATGAATTGTTGCATCTTTGAAGCAACTAGTGGAACGTTACACTACCCTTTTCAAATGTTTCAGTGTTAACATGTACAGATATCAATCTGAGCAGTCAAAAGCAACTCATGCACTTTGTAATCAGGCTCATTGCATCTTAAAAGACAACTGCTAGCTGAAGGGCATTTTTTTAGTTCAAATTCTGATGTACTTCATTTTCACTTTCCAAAATAAACAAAGTTTCTTCTCTTTCAAGGCAGTAAATTGACACTTTTGCAATTCATCTTTTAGAGTCCATGGCACCTGTCAACTGCACCCCAGCCCATAAACATCACCAAATCTGTTATAGAGCGAGTCACTAATAATCAGCACTTGCTCATTCTAGTATGTAACAGCTCATTTAATACTTGGGCTGCCTTAACACAAGTTAACATGCATGCATGTAATGCATTGAAGTGAACAGATCTGAATGGGCCCAGAGTTTTTTTTATCACCACCACTATCTTTCATTATGCAAAGCAAGGAACTCAAATAATTGCTTTAGAGCTTTTTAACTCACAGCTGGTGAAACCGCTAAGGATAATCATGGATAATTAAAAGGCTTTTACAATAGTTTAAGGGAATTCTTCAGAAGCAATTCACTAGGTGATGCATGTTCTTTGCCCTGCATTGCCAAATTTTACAATTCCAATAGGTCTGGGCCCCGTTCCCACCATATACATTGTGCAGGGCACAACACAGACAATGCAATTTGCTATTAAGTCAGTTCACATCACTGTTGCATGAAAGCCTACACGAAGAACTTCCTCTCTCCCCAGTGTGCAGCAAGACAGCACCCCAAGGAGTTGGGAGGAATAGAACTGAATTAAATGTCACTGTGCTATTTAAAAGTTCAAGAAAGACAAACAGTGCATTGCACCGCTTCACAATAGTGCATGCAGCTGGTGTGAATGGACTCATACCAATTTAAAGCAGAACTCCAGGCAGAGGGTTTAGGCCCCTTTCACACAGGTTGATCACCTGGCCAGTACGGAGTGGATGTCATCACTGTGACATCTGTAATGTAGTGCGTACATGTAATCTTGTGATGGAGGAAACAAACAGCAATTACCAGATCCAATGTCTGTCTATGGGGAATCAGATGTAAATGCAGATTATCCCCAATCAAGTCCAGCAAAACAGATCTCCGATCTGTTTGTTTTTCTGGACCTGGCCAGAGTCAGGGGTAACTAGGTGTAAACATACACCTGTCCATGTACACACAGCTGCCCATAGACTTACATTGGGCATCTGATCTGGGCTCCCCGTGTGACAGGGCCCAATCAGACAAGGGGAAAGTGGCCTTACGTTTCCAGTGTGTAAACAGGTTACCTCTCATGAGAATAATACAGCTCTCACTATACTGCTAGTAGCATTTATCTGCCTTCTGTATATTCCGTATCAGCTCACATAATACACAGCTTCCTGTAAATGGCCGAGAGGAGGGAAAACACCTATGCTTCAATGTATGCGATCTGCAGCTCACCTATCCACAGCAGGCCAGAACAGCTTGCTTACACACCAGAAAATGTAACAGAAAAGCCTCCCGGGGAAGGTCAACATAAAAATGTTGATATCCATCTATGTACTAGAATTGTGTGGATACTGTCAACACCGGAGACTGACGAAGACTAGAAGGGAGGGAACATCCACTTTTGTACATTCAGTCCAGCATGGACTACAAAACACTATTAAAATCAGCCAGCCGATTACAACATGTGAAACGTAGTATTATACAATTAATCTGAATTAATTAAAGATAACAAGGCCCATTAACAACATTACACCCCCTCCCCCGCCTGCAGTTGACTACTCTTCCGTCAGCCCCTCCCCCTTATTAGCCTCCGCCGTGAGTAATGGCGGGCTGTATCTACCGCGCTATAGACACGGCTGTACTCGGCTCTCTCCTCACATGCGAATATTACATACCCAGAGGGGTGAAAAAAAAATCCCAACAGCTTTCCAGACTAATGTAACACAACACGTAACGGCAGAATATCGTCCTCTGTGAACGTGCACAGCTCCTATCTCCGGGTAGCACACACACCGTACCGGTGATGAATAAATATTCCTTCTGCTCCCCCGTACATAAACGTATTCCTCCCCACACCGTGTACATAGGCCAGAACTTACTGCAAGTGCTCCGCTGACAAACGCCCAACTTCCGAAACCACCAGAAAGAATCTGCGTCAGCTGAGGGATTATGCTGATTTTTATAGTACCTGAAATGTATCCTTCCGCGTATAGGGAAAGGAACTATTTGACATTCGTGGATGATGGAAAAGCCTCTTGTGTTACCCTCGTGTGTAGCGCGGCCGGGCAGAGCTCATGGAAAAGCCTGTAACGAAAGCTCGGCATGGAAAAGCCTGTAACGAAAGCTATTTGTTTAGTATGTAGCCAGGGACGAGGACGTCAACAGGCGCACTGATACCATATGTATGTGAGGCGGCCATGGAGGATAGAGCAGGCTGTGGGTTGGCCGCTTCCAATGTGGGGGAGAAGGGGGAGGGGAAGGATCTGGAAGGTTGGTGCTTTGTTGGCATGATAAATGTTTCTTTGTGTCCACTGTAAATATATACAGAAAGAGTTCCCTTTCTCAATGTACATGCCTGTCTATAGAAACATTCACGGTTCAACCTTTTTAGCTACTGTGGAATATATCATCTTCAGAAGGCAGCTACTAAAACAGACATCAACATAGTGGCTAAAGGGGGCCTCAGGTGTGGCCCCTGGCATGACTAAAGGGCCACACAAGTTTATTTATAAATTGGTGTTGCGTTAACACATTGTAAAACATGTCTTACTGTGCGTTACTTCTACACATAGTTAGGCACAATTCCATCGAGTTCAACCTACAGAGATACGGAGAAAAAACAAAAAAAGAAAAGCCTAAACAGAACGATATGCCCACAGCTACCCCCTGTTGATTCAGAGGAAGGCAAAAAAAAAACCCTATAAAGCATGGTTCAATTTGCTCCAACAGGGGAAAGCAAATTCCTTCCTGATCCCATAAGGAAATGGGATATTTCCCGGATCAACAATCTCTGATGCTTAATATACCTATAAGAACTCAATATCCAGTAATATTCTGCATTTAGGAATGCATCCATTTTTTTAAAACAATTAACTGAGCTAGCTAGAACTAGTTCCTGGGGAGTCTATTCCACATGTTCACAGCTCTAACTCTGAAGATTCCTTTCTGTATGCAAAGGTTAAACCTCTTTTCCTCCAGACGTAAAGAGTCCCCCCTTGTCATTTGCAGTGACCTTAACGTGGATAATTTGGCACCAAGCTCACTATATGGACCATTTATGTATTTATACATGGTGATCATGTCCCCCCTTAGTCGCCTCTTCTCCAGAGAGAACAAATTCAGGTCAGCTCATCTTTCCTCATAGCTGAGCTCCTCCATGCCTCTTATCAGTTTAGTTGCCCTTCGCTGCACTTTCTCCAGTCCCACAACATCCTTTTTGTGAACTAGTGCCCAAAACTGAACTGCATATTCCAGATGAGGTCTTACTGATGCTTTGTACAGGGGCAGGATTATGTCTCTGTCTCTGGAGTCTAGAGACCCCTTTTAATACAAGAAAGTATTTTGCTTGATTTAGAAACTGCAGCCTGACATCGCATGCTATTATTCAGTCTTTGACACCCAGATCTTTCTCCATCATTGACTCCCCCAAACATTCTGCCCCTAGAGTGTATGAAGCAAGCATGCTTTTAGTCCCCAAGTGCAGAAAGGAAAATTACGGCAAGTATGTGATAACAATTTTCTGTTATTTCTGTGTTTGCAGATGACACCAAGTTATGTAGCGGAATACAGTCCTTACAGGATGTCTCCATCTTACAAGCAGATCTGAATGCACTGTGTGATTGGGCATCTATTCTGCAAATGAGGTTTAATGTTGGCAAATGTAAAGTTCCTGGCTCTCCTCATGTCGGCATACTAATGGGTTAACCCCGCCCCCGGCTCCCAATAGGACCACCCCTAACAAGAGTATAAATCCCCCCCCTTCCCACCACACACGTGTTCCATAGCACGCTGAGCGCAGGCATGGGAGGGTAGCTGTGCCGACATGAGGAGAGCCAGGAAAGGAAAATTACGGTAAGTATGTGATAACAATTTTCCGTTTTCCTGGCTCACCTCATGTCGGCATACTAATGGCACATAGCTAGCAACAAAACACATAGGAGGGAATCATGCCAATTTAATTAGCTCTAGACCCCGCAAAAGAGAGTACGGATGTGCCAAAGGCTGCACCCACAGAGCTAGACACATTGACATTGTAGTGTTCTAAGGAAGGTATTAGAGGACAACCAACTCGCTGCTTTGCAGACGACCTCTACCGGAACCTTAGCGTAGGCTGCCCAAGACGTAGCCAGCGACCTCGTAGAATGTGCCCTGATTTCTTGCGGAGGGGGAAGACCCGCTGTATTATAACCCTGGAACGCATACCTAGCAGTCGATCGTCCGGTAAGAGGCTTCGGCCCCATGAGTCCAACTTACCAGCCCACCTGCCTGTAACCTTTTAAGTTACCTCCGGCCTCCTAGCCTGGCACAAGGCATGTCCCATCCTGTGGACTTACCACATACAGGGACATCTACCACACGGGAGAAGAGGCTGAATCCGTGGTGGGTACCTAGAACCATCCTGGCATCCGATTAGCAGCGATCGTAACTCCAGGAACCGCTTTATTTAAACTATATTGGCTTAAAGGCCCTCATCTATCTGAATGGAGACGCACCACGGCTTCCGGCATACGCTCCACGCTGGACCGCATCCAGCCCCTGTACTCCACGCCGGAACGCAACTACACTCGCGGCCGCGGCTTACTACCGCCATAGCATCTCAGCCACCCCGGAGTGCGCACCAAAGTTGTCCTGAGCGAGGACAAAAAAAGAACCTGTGTGTGGTGGGAAGGGGGGGATTTATACTCTTGTTAGGGGTGGTCCTATTGGGAGCCGGGGGCGGGGTTAACCCATTAGCATGCCGACATGAGGTGAGCCAGGAAATTACTTTTGTCATTTATAAATAGGTTAAACAGTAAGGGGCCCAACACTGAACCTTGGGGGACACCACTAACAACCTCAGACCATTCAGAGTATGAATCATTGATCACCACTCTCTGAATACGGTCTTTACGCCAGTTTTTTATACAATTACAGATTGAATACTTTATCCATACTGACCTTAACTTATACGTTAGCCGCATGTGGTGAAATGTGTCAAACGCTTTTGCAAAGTCCAAGTAAATGATATCCACAGCCATTCCTCTGTCCAATTTATTACTCACTTCCTCATAAAAAGAAAGTAGGTTTGTTTGACAACTTCTGTCTTTTGTGAATCCGTGGTAACCTGCGCATGGCTGTGCATACGTCGTGGTCTTCATTTTAAATGACAACCCAACTCACTGTTACAGTAGTGGGCCAAGGTACTAAAAGCTCCTTCAGACTATGCTGGGCAGAGAAGCATAACAGTCTGAGCTGTAATGCCACCCACAGCAGGACACAACCCCAGCACCGTGCAAGACACAAGTGAAAGTGGTAAGAGCTGGTCAGGTGACCATGCCAGGTTTCTGGAAGAGAAAGGGTTACAGTACCTGACTCCAGCACATCCCACCATCACCCCTCAGTCCAGCCTAGGGACCACTGTCACCTACCAGGTCCCGCTGCAATGTCGCTCACTGCCACTGGAGAGCGCCGAGTGCCATGCCTGTCCAGATATAAGAAATAGGCTGCCTCCGTCAAGTACCTATCCTGGGCTAGGCCTATAGTGACAGGGTAGGCCTCAGCTAGGTAATCGGTTGAGACGGCATACTTCAGATCACTGAGGGGTTTTGGGGCATGGCTGCTGTGCTCTGGGGGGGAGGTTTGGACTCCCATCGCTCCCCTCCTTATGTTCACCTCAGGATGGATGCTGGCGTTATCCCATGGCTTTCCAGTCACTGTAATTAAATGGGAAAACAGTCCTGACATTTTCGATACTTTTTTTGTTATATAGTAAAAAATAAAACCCCCAGTGGTGATTAAATACCACCAAAAGAAAGCTCTATCTGTCCCCAAAGGGTATAAAATTAATTTCAGTACAGTGTTGCATGACAGAATAAATGCCAGTCAAAGTACCGCAGCGCTGAATACTGAAAAATGGCCTGGCCAGGAAGGGGGTATAAACACTCCGGTCAGCAAGTGGTTAAGTATTGTATAATACAACAGCAATATCACCCTGCTATAATTCATGTCTCAGTTCCTGGCCATCTGGGAGTTGTGACTCTTCCTGCATACCTTTGCATACTTT